TGACCACGACCGTGAGCTTGGTTCGCCAGCTCCATGTTGTGCTGACAATGCTCAGTAGATTTGTTATTTCAGCAAATAGTTATTTTTAGCCATGCCAATTAATACAGTAGGTATATGAAAATACCTGTGAAGCTAAGTATTCCCATAGAGAACTGTACCCAATGTCTGCATTATATGTAGTTTAGATCAAATTCTTTTTTACAGCAAATTCCCAAAAATACTGACTTACCCAATAGTTTGTCATTGTCAGTTGTCAGTGTCTCACTGTCCGAATGCCTGCTCAGTAAATAAGAGAGAACTATTATAAATCAGCCCTTATCCTTTGCAGGGTGAAATGTCTTTTAATAGGAACCACATGGCAATTTTGAGCTTTTGAAAATGCTCAGTAAGAGTCTGATACCAAGCCCTCTGAAATCAATGGGAAAATGCTCATTGACTATAATTGGTTTTGGAGCAGACTCTCTATCTTTTTATCAGGCTCTTCCCAACTACTTGAGACTCGTGTTGATTACAGCCTGTATTATGGGAAATACATAATTTCTTAGCACCCTATCCAATGTCTAAAGTTGATCACTTTAACGTGGAGACCCTGCAAAAGACAGAAGACCATGCCACAATCTGTACAAGAGAAGCCAGCTACAGGTGAGGGAGCACTGCAGTTTTCAGCTTAGACAGATTCATAGATTCATAGATGTTTGGGTTGGAAGGGACCTTAGCAGATTATAGAGTACAACCCCCTGCCCTGGGCAGGAAAGATCACTGGGATCAAACGACCCCAGCCAGGTGTATGTCTAGCCTCCTCTTACCTCTCCAAGGTAGGGGAGAGCACCACCTCCCTTGGAAGCCCATTCCAGATTTTGGGAACCCTTACCATAAATAAATTCTTCTTGATGTCTAACCTAAATCTGCTCTCCATCAGTGTGTGGCTGTTGGTCCTGGTTACCCCAGGGGGTGCCCTAGTAAACAGAGCATCTCTTATTCCTTGCTGCCCCACCAATCAATTTGTAGGTGGCCACAAGATCATCTCTCATCCTTCTCTTGCGGAGTCTGAAGAGATCCAGGGCCCTCAATCTCTCCTTGCAGGGCTTTGCCTGCAGGCCCCTAACCATATGAGTGGCCCTTCTCTGAACTCTCTTGAGGTTGTCCACATCCCTTTTGAAGTCTGGCGCCCAAAACTGGACACAGTACTCCAACTGTGGCCTGACCAGTGCCGCATAAAGGGGAAGTATCACCTCCTTGGACCAGTTTGTGATGTACCTGCTAATGCATGATAAAGTGTGGTTAGCTTTTCTGATCACATCGTCATGTTGACGACTCAAGTTCATCTTAGAGTCAACAGTTACTTCAAGATCCCTTCCACTGCTGTGCTGCTGAGAAGGTCTTCCCCCAGCCTGTAAGCATGCTGGTGATTCCTTCTCTCTAGGTGCAGCACTTTGCATTTGTGCTTATTGAACTGGACCACAGGTATAGATGGCTATACGCTGTACGGGAGGGATCGTGTAGATAAAAGGGGTGGGGGTATAGTTCTCTATCTTAAGGAAAGCTACATGTCCCTGCAAGCTGATATTGGCGACCAGGGTGGACTACTGGAGACCCTCTGGCTTAAAATCCATGGGGAATACAGCACAGGGGACACAACAGTGGGAGTCTACTACAGACCTCCCACCCAAAGTCCTGAACCAGGAGTTGGCCCAGGAACTGGCTGAGGCTGCATGCTCCAGGACCATGGTTGTCATGGGTGACTTCAATTACCTAGACAGCTCGTGGGAGGATCACTCAGCAAAATCCGAGTGGTTGCAAAGCTTCCTTTCGTGCGTGGATGACCTCTACCTGACTCAAGAAGTCTGTGGGCCAATGAGAGGCAAAGCGCTACTTGACCTGGTACTGGCTACTGGGGATGACCTAATCAGTGACTTAGTGATCGATGGGAAGCTGGATGACAGCAACCATGAGCTGATCACCTTCACCATCCGCCCTAAAGCTGGCAAGTCAGTCAGCAACACAGAAATCCTTGACGTCAGGAAAGCCAATTTTGACAAGGTCAGGAGGCTTGTCAGTGAGGCCCTAAGGGACCATGACCCCAGGGAGAGGGGAGTTCAAGAAGAATTGTTGCTCCTCAAGGGAGCGATCCTCAATGCACAAGCTAATTCTACTCCATCTCAGAGGAAAGGCAGCAAAAGGGCACAGCAGCCCCCCTGGCTCTCCAGGGACCTAGCAGACCTCCTGAGGCTAAAAAGAAAGGCCTACAAAGGATAGAGGATGGGATTCACCTCCAAGGAGGATTATTCTGCACTGGTCCAGTCCTGCAGGGAGCAAACCAGGAAAGCCAAGGCTGCAACTGAACTCCAACTAGCTTCAAGCATCAAGGACAATAAAAAGTCCTTTTTTAGATATTTGGGAAGTTGGAGGAAAAGCAAGGGAAACATTGGACCCCTGCTGAACCAGATGGGGCAACTGACA